AGGGTGAATTTAGACACAGACCCATTCTGCATCCTTCTTTCTCTGAGTAATCTGTTCTGCCAAGTTTCCTCCTTTTATAGTCAGGGACCGACCAATTACCATGAAAATCAGATGAATAAATATTGAAGAGAATGTGTTCAGTGTCTATTTTGGTGTCCTCACAGCAAGGAAGCGGTGTTACATTTTTAATTAAGTCTCCCATTTCCATTTTCTTCTCAGCTACAGCTCTCCTCCATAGGATCAATTACACTAGATTATCAGCTCTCGCTAAAAGCGCCCTCTACAACAACAGTCATTACTAGGTATGACTCAACAAATGTTCTCAACCGCACTACAGATTTCTCCTCCAAAATTAAAATTTCGTGAATAGCACACTTTGGGTACTGGCTTGCCTGGACACCTGGTTTAACTGTATTACAGTGTCACAATGCCATCCCTCATGTTCTACACCTTCTCGTTCCAGTTTGTGAATGTATAATGGATGTATTATTAGTAGTGCATATCTCTTTTTAAATCATTCTTTGGTCCATAAAGGTTGACTGAATTAAAAAATTTAATTAGCTTTGTTCTATATCACGACATATTTAGGTAGATTTTTTTTAACGTTTTGCGTTTTTGAATACCAAACATTTTCAGCTGCAATATTTGTGTTCCATGGAATTGTTTGCATGTTTTCTCTCCTATTTTCTTTTAGATAATCATGACTGAATTGTTAGACACTTTATGCAAGTAGAAAGAGCCCTAGGCTAATTGTGTTAGAAATTTTCTTTGTGATTCTACATTTGCTATGAGGTGCAATCCTTGCCCTACCCTCATCCTGTAGTCTCCCTGGAGACTCAATTCTTAGCCTATAAGAGCCTGAGTGGATCAAGTATTCACCCACTATTTATTGAAAACCTATTGCATGCCAGGCACTGTTCCAGGTGTTGGGGAATACTGCAACAAACAACTTTCTACCTTCATAGAGATTATGGTCTAGTGTGGCAGTCTACATTTTTAGTACCAGGGACCAATACAGTGGAAGAGAATTTTTCTAAGGATGAAGAGACAGGGGGTTGGTTTTGGGATGATTCAAAGGAAGATGCGACCTAGATGTCTCACCTGCACAGTTCACAGCAGGGTTCTTGCTCCTGTGAGAATCTACGGTCAGACCCATCTGACAGGAGGGGAGCTCAGGCAGTGATGCCAGGCTATAAGTATGGACATAGCTTCACTTGTCACCCACCAGCCCACCACTCAGCTCCTGTGGTGCAGCCCCCACGAGGACCCGTGGTCTAGTGGAAGGGGAGCAACACAGTAAGTACATTAACAAATGATTGCTTGTGATAAGTGCATTAAAGCAAAAAATAAATGAGGACAAAGATATGGAGAGTATCCAGGGGATCTATCTGAGATAAAACTTAGATCAGAGTTCCCTGATAAGCCCTCTCTGATGTGGAGTAAGCCTAACTCATTCTAAGGGGCAAGTATGGTCACATCATCTTGAGACCCAGACCAGCTGAGCACAGACATGCAAAAGCAACAAAGGCAATTATGAAGGACTTCACTTATGAACACATACTCCAAAAAAATTTTCAGAAAACCCGAAAACATATTTCACAGTTACTACATGTCAATACAGAGTAGCATTTGTAATAGGATCCTGACATCAGGGAAAAAGAATCTGCCCAAATAATTCTGCATTTAATGGATTTAAGAAAACAATACATTATTATCTCAAAAGACACTGCAGTGGCATTTGATGTATTTTGACACTTACATATAATAAAAGTAATTATGTAATAATGCATATATAAGTTTCACTAGAGCAGAATTTTTCTTAAATGGTTCTTAAATAGTTCACAGATACATACCAGGTTCCAAAAATGATATCTGGATTTAGATGGCATTCAGTCTATATCTGTTGAATAAATGGATGAATGGATGAATGAATCCCTTTAAGCTGAAAAGGGCAATGTACCAAAAGCCTACCGCACACACAAAAAAGAGCCTACTGCAAATCTTCTTTTTCTTCCTCCTTTTCTCCTCCTTGTCCTTCTTTTTTTGGTTCTTTGAGACAAGGTCTCAGTATGTATCCCTATCTAGGCTCAAAGTCATGTTAATCTTTCTGTCTCAGCCTTCTGAGTGCTGCGATTACAGGCATGCACCGCCATGCCCAGACCAAACCTCCCTCTTAATGGAACGAGTCTTAAAACCTCCCCATCCAGGTGGGGGCAGATAAAGGTACCCTCTCTGGGTTAATGTTAAAGGGTGCCCCAAGCAGTGGGGCAGAACAGGTGTAAGGATGGTCTTGGCAGGCAGGTGGAAGACCACCAATGTTTATAAAGGCAGGGCCAAAGCTCCAGGAAAACTGCTGGAATTGGCGAAATGTCTGGGCTCAAGATCACATCAAATTCTCTTCCTACTGCAGTCATTGTTGAAAAACGTAACTAGAATAATTTACCCTTTACAACAGGTAGACACTCTAGGAAACAACCTAAAGAAAGAAACAGAAGGACTTTCTGGAGGGAATTTAAAAACTCTATTAAGAGACATTAAAAACAGAGGTTTGAGCCATGTTCAAGAATATTACAATCTGACACTGAAAAATACTTGCTCCTCCCCCAAATTGTTCCTTACAATCCATGCAAATCCCATCAAAATCTTAGCACACTTTTGGCGACTTGAAAAAGTGATTCTAAAGAAAGAGTAAAGGGTTAAGAAAAGCTAAGACCATTTAGACAGAGGAGTGTCATCAGGAAGGACTTGCATCACCTGATGTGAAGAGGGCTTCAAAGCTCTGATGATTAAAACAGAAGAGCACCTGCACAAGGAGTAAGTGGTCAGACCAGCAGAACACAACTGAAGCTCCAGAGGCCACCCCAAGACACAGAGGACTCAATACGTTACAGAAGGGGCACCAAAAACGGAGAAAAAAAAGGAACATTTTGGTAAATAGTGACAAAACCAAAAGGGGCTTACTATATGGACACAAAACAAGTCAGGTCCCTATTTATATTGTATTCAAAAGTACCACCAGTTGGAATTAAAACCTAATTGTGAAAGGTGAAACTATACAACTAACAGATGAAAATATTAGAATATAGTATATTTGCAATTTAAGGATAGAGGAAAATTTAAAACCAGAAAAGGAAACAATGATGGATTTGGCTACATTCCAAAGAAACACTTCTATTTGTTTGGTTTTGTTGTTGTTGTTGTTGTTGTTTGAGACAAGGTCTCACTTTGTAGTTCAGGGTGGTCTCGAATTCATGGCAATCATCTTGTCTCAGCCTCTCATAAGTGCTGGGATTATAGGAATGCACCACCACCCAGGCAAAATTTCTATTTGATGAATAATATCACAGACAAAATTACCATGTAACCAAATAAGACAACAACAACACCCCGCTAAAAAATTCCACAAGAAATCCCAGTAAGAAAATCAAAAGAAAAGTATAAGGAAAAGATAAGAGCATAAAATTTCCAGGAGATACATAATCTAATCTGCTATGCTGCTAATGACAGGCACTCAAAGAATTACAAGCAGACACCAGATCTTCATTTATTCCTTAGTCCTACTGATTAGCAAAACTAGAGTGGCACTAGAGGAGAAGCGAGGCTGTGAGCCCCTCGTGGTGTGCTGGTGTGGGCCTCTGTGGTCCAGTTAATGTGGAACAACTGCAAACCCTAGTGAAACTAAATGTGTGCAGTTCCACTGGCCAAAAACTATACTCCTCGCACCTGTCCCAATGAGACTGACCTCAGCACAGAGAGAAACATGTGCAAGGTTTGTAGCAGCTTGGACACCCTCCCCTGGAGAGTTGAGCAAGCGAATATCTACAAGAGAGGGCAGGCAGCCTACTGAAGCAATGAGCCGATGTACAGAAAGCACCAGTGACACATCTCAAAGCACCTGCTGGGGTGAAACAAAGAAACATATATGTGTCCTGAAGGTAGGTTGGAAGTAAGTGGTCACGGTCATTAGGGGAAGAGGTTGCTTCAGTGCAGAGGAAACAGGAACTGGGCAGACACTAATATTTCAAGAGCATCACAGGCAGAAGTGTGCAAACATCTCAGTCTAGACCCCTGGGTAACAATCACCCAAGTAACCCTGCTCCTACTCTTACCTGCACGCCCCACCCAGGGAAACTGTGTTCAAGTCCAACTGAAGATTAAAGTTTCATTTCTCCTATCAATCACGTAAATAATTCTACTTAAATAATTCCACCTTGTTTTTTTTTCTTTTCACCAGATAAGAAGATTAAAACAATTCTGGGATCTACTCAATGATTAAACTGATTTAATTACATTTATTAAACTCTGAGCACTTATTGGACTATGCCTAGGGTGAAGTCAAATATATTTGTTGACTAGAAGGTAGACAGTTCAGCCCCAGCCGCAGAGTTATTCAGACACAAGTGTAGAGCCAGGAAGGGCTAAACTCAGTGTCACTGGGTATTACCTGTCTGAGTGGGAAAGTAAGTGACTAATTAATGGGGGTTTCACTCACTGGTCATCATATTTTACAATTGACATAAAATCTCAGTGATTCAACTTTTATAAATTTGAGATATGACCTACAAGCCCAGGAGCCTATTTTTCCTTGTCTACTGTATTTGGAAGAATGCATTTGGATGAAAAATGTTCTTTTTAGAGATTTTTCTCTTACTAATTCTCTTTACGGCTTTACAGTTCTGTCTTTCACATTTAGGTTATAATTCCAACCAAATGTATTTCTGAATATGACATGGGATAGGAGACGGACATGTTTTAAATCTCCACACAGTAAGCCGAAGTTTCTGTATTTATTTATCTTAAAGGACACAAAAGTTAACACTTCCAAACTGGGCCATTATGATATTCCAATTTTTCTGACTTAGATGTGGCCCTGACCACTGAAAACAGCTGCTCAGCTCTGGCCTGAGGGCAAAAGTCCTCTGCCCCTGGCAGGTGCATTAGGTAAGTAGAGCTGATTGAAGGTAGGTACAGCTGACTAGAAGGCCCCACCCATGCCTCACCGTGCCTTCGGGGTCCACCAGCAGCAGGTGTTTAGCCTGGCCGTTGTGCATGCCCGTGAGAACAAAGGAGCCGGGGTTGGTGGTGCTCTTCCTGACCAGGAAGTCTCCGTCTTTCTCCAGCAGCCCCTCCGCCTCCTTCCTGCTCATCTCCCCCTGGTACCAAGGCTCAGCATGCAGCTCCTCCAGTATCTTGGCGTCTGGGGCTCTGGGTGAGACCGGACTGATACACTCCACGGAGGCAGCCTTGCTCAACACAGGCCCCACGGCCTGGTTCTTGAGAGCATCTTCAAAAGGCTCTGTCAACAACAACATTGGCCAGCAAAGAGTCAATCCCAGAGAAAGCAAATCATAAAGATGTAATGCAGGAGATGCAAATGCACCCACACCTCCTCCAGAGTGGGTAAAACTAGAGCAAGCCGACTGGCTAGTAAAATAACAAGAGTCAGCATAACGAGCGTTTAAAAGCACACCCTAAAGTTGGCATGCCTTTCTCAGGGGAGTCTACTTTCCTCCGGCAGCTGGGAGTTTTCATTTGTGCCAAGGATTCAAGCACACCCATGGTCTGCTGGGTGGAACAGCATTGTTGCACCCATGAGAGGCCATGTGTGTTTCACACAATCTTTCCTTGGAACACCAGCCAGCCTCCTTAAGAAATTCTGAGTAAAAACCTCACTAAGTCCAGAGGAAAAGACAGAGCTACAAGGCTTGGACCTAATGCAAATCTAAATCCAGCCCTCCGGAGGATTTTTTCAAAATCTTTGAGTGCCTCCTGTGTGACTTGCTGCAGGCCTGGAGCTCTGACTCCCCTTCATTTCATCCATTTCCCTGTAGCAACAGCTTTCATAGAGCTTGGCTTTATCTCCTTTGGAACACACATCCTACTGTTGGGTATCTGGGAATGGTACACTTCTAACAGCAACGGATACCAGTGGCAAGGAATACCAGTGGCCAAGTGCATTTAATTAAATTTCAAAGTTTGCTTTTCCAGTAAGGTAGTATATGCAAAGCACTCTGAAAAACACACACAGTGCCATGCAACTGTAAGGCATTATGATGATTATTTGATATCACACTGCCCTCCTACTATGATGCAAGTACCACAAGGACAGGATTCATTCTCCCCAGACACAGCCACTGCTCCAAAGCCCCCACATTGCTCCTAGGATACAGCTCTAAGTACTCAGTGTAGGCCCAGTTTGGTAAATGTTAATAGATGAAAAGAGAGGTGAGAGTGTGAAACCCATCTTGGATTTTTTGGGCAATTTTTTACAGATATGGGGATAAAAACAGGTTAGAAATGAGGTTGGATAGAAGAAGTAAAAGGTAGAAAGAAGACAAAGCAATCATAACTAACAACTGTACTTTGTAAGAAGATTGCAACTTCCAGGGCACAGCTGAAGGCCATAAATTGACTCAGTTAAGAAAATCAGGTGCAGGAAACTGAAAGAAAGAAAGTGAACTGCCTGACAGTTTATGTGTGTATGTGCATGCACGTGTGCATGCGTGCATGCATGTGTGTGTGTGTGTGTGTGTGTGTGTGTAGGCTTCGAGCAGCCTCCTGGAAAAGGGAGCTACAGGTGGCCAGGAGAAGGCCAAGGCAAAGAGGGAGTCAGATTTGGTGAAGGACAAATCAATGGCCAAGGCTAGGCACCTGGAGGCTCAGCAAATGAAGGCTTCATTGGACTCTAGAGATCTTCATGCCCAAATATAAGATATTTGTACCCCTCTAAAGAATGTCTTTATTCTGTTTAAAGTTGCCATTAATGGTGCTTGCAAAAATACACCTGCTACATACCCTGAGCTCCTACAGGTCCACTTCTACATCAAACTTTCCTGTTTTTAACCCCATCATTTAATCTCTACTTGGCTGAGATACAGTCATTTTTAAGGATAAAGACCCCTCGACAAAAGAGTTCCTTAGGTAACCCTTTCTGGGGTCCCCCTCAGGTTCATTTGCCTGGGGGTTGTTTGCTTTCACTTTACAACAAAGGCTGCTTTCTGCTTTTGCTCTATAATAAGTGTTTTTGCTCTGTCTTTATCGAGTAAATCCTACTCATGTGTCTTTCTGGTGCATCCTGAAAATTCTTTTCCTGCAAGGAAGGTTAGTGATCCTGCTATGGTCGGGTGGGCTAAGCATGGGAAGAGACCCCACTTGGTGACAAAACTACTGGCTAAAATTATATTTGTGGATTTCTCTTTTATTCTTCTTATTTGATTACCTGGACTTACTAAAAATTTGTATAATCCTGTTTCTACATCACCCTCACCTTTACTGCCATCATCCACACATTCACTTCATTGACAATTTCTGCATGAGTACTAACATTACCATCACCACTCGCACCATCATTTTCCAGTCACCACTGTCACCACCATCATCACATCACGGTCAACCATTCCCATCACCAACAGCACCACCATCAACACTATCACCACCATTACCACTATTGCCACCATCATCTACTATCACCACCATCACCATCGTCATCATTCCCATTACCACCATTACCACACCATCACCACCACCATCATCATCAGCACCATCACCATCACTACCCTCACTACCATCATCATCACTATTACCATCACCATCACCTTCATCATCATCACCATCATTATCACTATCATCATCACAATTACTACTATAACCATCATCACTATCACCATCACCACCATTGCCATCACCATTATCATCACCATCATCACTATTACCATCACCACCATGACCATCATCATTGTTACCATCATTACCATCACCACCACCAGCACCATCCTCATCATCACCATCACCATCATCATCATCATCACCACTACCTCACCATCTTTATCACCATCATCACAATGAACCACCACCATCATCACTATCATGATTATCATCATCTTCTTAATCACATCATCACCACTGTCACCACCATTATTAGTACTTAATCCTAGTGGTTCAAGAACAAAGTGCTGGCTCTATTTCCATAATCTTCTAAAGGCTCCAGCATCTCTGAAATCCTTTCTGCTTTGTCTCCTGTATTCTGGTTCCAAGAGAAGGAGTAGAAATCAATTGGTGGCTCTTGTTTTTCTCAAATCCCAGGCAAGTACTGTGTAACCCCTCTTGGGAAAAAATTAAGTAGGAAAAATGCTGCAGCCAGAAGATAATGTGACAACTGAAGTGGAAGCTTTGAGGTTTCACCACTTTGATCTGCAGTTTGGAAAAATGGCTTCATACTTCTTGGGCTATTTCCACATTGTTTAAATGAAGGGATCAGATTGAGTGATCTATAAGGAACCTCTAAACATTAAGTTTCACAGTTCCTCTAGCTCAGGTGCTTTTTGTTGCGACAGAAGTCCTTAGTGTCTGTGAGGAGCAGAATATGGTTGTCACAGTGCTGCCTTAAAGTGTCATGTAGGCACGTGACTTTGTCCTTACCCACATGGGAATAGAAAGCATTGGACCAGAAAGGCTGCCTTTACATGTGGTAAAGTTACTTAACCTGTAGGGTTCTGTTTCCACTTCCATAAAATAGCAGTCGCAACAGTAATTATAGAATGTAGCTGTTGGGTGACTGAGAAAATTAAATAAAATAACAAGTGCCTCACACGTCGCACTCATGTCCTTTCCCACCTGCTTCAGCCTGTCAAGTTCTTACGGAATTACAAAATTCAAGCTGTACAGCTCTTGGTGAGCTTTGGGAGCTCTTACCAGTTTTTTAAAAACAATTTCCACTTTCATTCTATTTCAGCTTGCAAATAAGTCAATGTTCCAAATCTGCATGACAAACAGAAAGCCCAGGGTTCATATCCCACTGTACTGCCCTCTATGATAGATTCCCATCACCCTCCTTGTCTGGTTTCATCACTTGCAAAAGCACTCCTCACCTCCTGATAATACATCATTAGTTGTTTATTTAATTCCTGTTAGAGTAGGACTGTTTTGTTTTCCTGTATATCTTCAGAAAAAGAAAAGTATTTGACATATGATAAGTGCTTAATACAATTTGGGGAGCAGGGAGGGGGACAGAGCGAATGAGAGAAACATGAGAGAGAGGATGAAGGAAGGGTGAAAGAACATGCATAGAAGAGAGGTGTGTTGTACTTCCTTGTTTGTACTGTATGCTGGTTTTATTTGGTAAGAGGAGAGCTCTGTGGGTATGGGCCATTTCATCTTTGCTTCCTTAGCAAATAATGCAATAGTTGGTACAGAAGA